GATACCGATATCGAAAACACAACAAAATGAAGATCACTGTCATCGTTAGAATCACTGTAATGTGATGGAAAAAAAACAATTATTTTTTGAAAAGATATTATTGATTACTGATTATTACTGATAGTTTTACCTTAAGTTGGATTTGCACAATGCTTATAGGTTCGAGCAAAATATTTGAAATAATATGGGATTCGACATAATTTTTTTGAACATTATGTGATCCTCACACCAAGAAGTTCGTTATCAGAAATACAACTAAAGGGTGGTCGCTGTCATTATTAGAATTACTATAATAATTTAAGGGATAAGTAAATAAAGGTGGTTAGTAAAATTAAAAAAAGAAAAAAAAACGTATGATCAAAAAATATACGCTTATATTTTTTAATGTCCTACATGGAACGTGTTTGAGCTAGCCTTGTTTCAAAAATTTGCGTAATTGCTGAAGAGGCCTGACGGTAAGAATAGCAGATATATACCGAAAGAACATTTTCAATTTTTCTTTCATACTTACCATATCAGCTGAACTTACTGAAGTTTCTTAACTTTGCAAACTTATTTAGCTTACTTAACTTCCCTTACTTACCCTAGTGGCAAGAACAAGTAACCCCCCCTCCTTAACCCCTTGGGGACGGGTGATTCAGATAAGCATTCGTACAAAATCAGAATCAAGTTGTAATTAAATTAAAAACTGTAATTTAAATGTAGTCGTTTCTTATTTGACAGACTTACTTTGCTTTTACTTTAATTATTGTTAGTTTAATCATATATATAATCAATGTTAATTCAAAGTATAACTAAATAATTTTATTTTGAACAAAGTATTGGTGAATTAAATAGATCAAACAATTTTAACTCCGCCCACAAATAAACTGCTAAAGAAATACTTTAATTACCAGTTTTATATTTTTACACAGATTGATACGGTTTTATGCTGTCACGTATTTGTGACAGTCGGCTCGAAAGGGTTAAAAGTAAATCACTTGTGAATAGGCGGTCAATCTGATTGCTTTCCAACACGGAGTCAACCTACCTAGGTTTCAATGTAGAATATGAAAAAAAAAGGAACGGAGCACTTTACTAACTTTTGATTTAATGATCGGATTTTCACGTACAAGGACTCAGTTTCCAATGCTCGAAGACCTATTCTTAAACATGCAAAACAATTAGGGCAGACGAAGTTACGGAATAAAACCTAGAACGTATTTTCTCTTCTTGTACTTTTTGTTCCTAAAAGCATTATAACCCCTTAACTTTTAGTCATATCATATTTACCTTGGCCTCATTTAATTCATCTTAAAGAAATGAATCGAAAACTATACGCAATTTGTCCTGAAAGCAATATTAAAGTTTCTCCCCCTCCCCTGAACCCATTTCCCTCCAAAACGAGACACGTGACATGATGCATTGTGTAACTTTTTACTTCTTATTAAAAGTAGAGTATTTAACACTTTGCCATAGAGTGGAACTTACTTTTTGGGAGTCCGGATTTTGAGGACTTATAACCAATTTTTATTGAGTATAATCTTTTTTAAATGACTATGTTATCTAATTGTTTTCGGAGTCTCGGGATATGAAAGGATTTAATAAATAATAGTACTTACCCGATACCTCCGCTATCATTAAGTTATAGTTCCGTATTAATTTAGGGCAAAGCTCGATTTCACTCAGAGTAATTATTACTTTCCCTCTCAGACTTTCTCTGTCTTCTTCAAAGCTACATCGGGTCTCGTTTACATCTAAAATCTGAAAATAATTATTATTTTTGAAATTTTTAAAAGTATTCTTGTAATGTTTATTAAAATCGGGAAAATGATATTTCTAACTGACTTGTCGTACTGTAGCCCATGTAATATTTGTTGTTGTAGTAGAAACACATCAAATATCGAAGCGATATTTTGCGTAAATTAAAAGCATAACGTTGTAATTACCACAACTTTTATACATCGTGGCGGTTAAAAGAACTTTTTTTTTTAAATCAAATTCTCTTAAACAGTATATTACTGTAAAGTTTTAACCTAAAAACTAAAACAAGTCAGAAATTGTTAATTACACTTTCACTTCAGTGGTTAAAATTTGTATGATCTCGCCCGTTGGGGTTTGACAGAATGGGTGGGGGGAAGCAAATTAAATAAGTGCTATTTAGACAGGTGAAATATTATTTTCAACGTATTTTTTCACGTTTAATAGAATGAAACCAAACATGTGACAATAAGATAAATATTTAAAAGTTACAAAGTTTTTTTTTATGCATATATAAAATGTATATTTTTTGTCATGTACACATTTATTATTTTTACACTCCTTTATTTACTCTAATTAACTCTTTTCAAAGCTACTTATACAAGTAATGAATTGTGCCTGATGAAGTTTAAACACAGAATCGAATAAGGCCCGAATTGTGTCTATAGAGTAAATGGATTTAAGAAGAAAAATGTAAATTAGTACAAGGCAGAAATATTACTTTTTTTTCATGAAAATAGTTGTAAGTTTTGAATAGATTTTCGATATACAGTCGAACTTCTATTTAGCGAACTTCCATTTTACGAATTCTCTATTTTTCGAATATTTTCGAGGAATTAAGAACATTTTGGAAATTTCTCTGTAAAATAACTTCCAAATAGCGAAGTGAATTTTCCATTTAACGAACTTTTCATTGAGATCCACTTTCCCTCTTTTTCAAATTATTTCAGAACATTTCAAACTTGCTAACGCATTTTATGGGGGAAATGACCTTGAATTAGTTTTCGCTTTATGTAATGTTTTACTGCTTTCTCTAAAAGTTATTTTAGAAAAAAAACAGTAAAATTTCCTTTTTGTTCGCATTTAAGAGAAAAACTGAGTCCAAATTATTGGATTTCATCAGTAGCAATTAAACTTAAGAACGCATGTGGTAGTGTATGTTTAAAATTACTTTTGTAATAAATGCAACTATAATTTTATACATAAATTTAGCTTTTTTTGTTGAAAATGTATGTAGCAAAATAGTTTAAATCAGCATAATGTTTTGCTTTATTCTTACTTTCCATTCGAATTTCTTTCTTGGTTAAGATTTATAAAATAAATAGTCGATACTAGTTTACAAGATAACGGTACATCAATTGCTATTTTAATTATGCTTAGTGTTTATGAATTTAAAACCTGTTTTGTGTTGTTCACGTATTTTAAAAGATGATTTTCTATTTAACTTTTCCAAATTACGAACTTACTATCGGGAGTTAGAGACTTCGTTAAATAGAGGTTCAACTATATATCCCCATTGTCTCTATTGCTCAAATTTTTGCATAAAGAATTTAATTGGGAACTACTTTTCACTCGTCAAGATGGCAATGTTAGATACTTAAATAGGAAAAAGCCAAACATTGTACCTACATTTTGCACGTAAAACCAATACAATTTCCTATAGCCTACAACTCTCAATTGCTTTTTAGTCCTATGGTGTCGTACCCATTATGATCCCATTTGATTCACCATAAAAAATTACACGGAATATAGTTCTTCATTTGTCTAAATAAAAATAAAGTTTCTGCACTATTTATCTCCTTTTCTTTCTTGCCATAAAATTTTGAACATTTTCTAAACACAAATATAAATACTAAGAGGAGCCTTTTTTTATTAGTACTATTGTTGAAGTATATATTTTAAACCATCTTAAATAACGGAGAGTAATTTCTTGTTAAAATCCTAGATATTGTCGATGACAGTAAAAATGAGACAAAAACGGAGTTTTGATAATGTCATGGTAGGCCGATTGGCAGATAGAAAATTTCAAATTCACTGTTTTGAGTTGCTAATCAGAATAATTCTAGATCAAAGTAAAATGATAAATAGATAGTTGGGAAATATATTTTAAATATCACCAGCACTGAAGAACTCAATATTTAACTTATCAGTTCATTTATCAGGAGGAGACATATTTCAAATAAGGAAATATATTTTATCACCATATTGTATATTTTATCTGGAGGAAATATATTTTAAAACGTAAGTTAGGAAATATATTTTAAACACCACCAGCACTTAAAAATACGACATTTAACTTACAAGTTCATTTATTTCCATCGTTTAGTTATCAAAATGTAAAGGTAATCTTAACAATGTCAAATGTAAAAACATGGATTCAGCTCATGATTTAAATATTTGATAAAAAAATCACTACTAAAAAGCTAAGTATGCTTGTACATTTTAATAGCTAATTCCGTTTTAAGCGTAGCTTTTTTCTTTTAAGATTAAATGTGGTTACTCTAAAAATAGAGTCATGATACATGAGAATAACTACTAATAAATATGTTTGTATGGATAGTTGACTAGAAGTCTAAATACAACAATGATAATTTTATTTTTAAAAGTAAGACGAAAATAATGATGTATTAAATAGAAAAGAATTGGTTTACAATAAATTTACATAGTGATATTTACAAAGAAAAAAATCATTTTACGTTTCGAAAGAAATTTAACATAACAAGGTTTTGAGTAGGAACTCTTTGACACCGGAAAACAAATTAACATTTGGAGAACATTTAATGCTGAGGGAAAAAATATATTTTTGAGTTTAATAAGTTTTCGAGGTATCGAGAGTATACAGTACTTTGAAAAAATTATGTCGTAGTTTTATAAAAAGGAACAATCCTATTTGTAAAGAAATTCACCCGTAAAATTATGTGTGTACAGATTTGCATTAATTATGAACAAACTTGGAAAAGAATTTTTTGAAGCTACTTTGCATAGCCTCCACACGGTTTTTTATGGGTAGTCCGATCAGACCACTATGAAGGTAAACCAGTTTACGAAACAGCCCTTTAATACAAAATCTAGTAAAAATAAGAGAGTGGTAGCAAACATTTATCTAAAAATTTGTTTAATTTATGAATATGAATGGTTTGTCTTATTCACTTTTCTACTACTACTGATTCAATTCTCAAATATATATGATACATTTCTCTCAGTCAACTTTAGAATAGAATATGGGTTCTATGCGCACAACCGGTTCACTCTTTAAATAGTCCGCGCGGGCTACTTTTCAAAATCCGCGGAATGCATACCTGCCTACTCTTCCGGAAGATTTTATTTTCATATTTAAAGTGGTAGTAAATATATACTATTTTTTCTTTTATAAACTTAATTTTTAAATGATTTTGATCACCACTATTCTTACAAAAATTAAGCACATATATTAATATGCGTTACTATCATGGTTGTCAACTTAAGTTTTCTCAAATGCAACGTATTTGTTTGCTTAAAATTGAAGTTTTAATTTCATTTTAATACCCCTGGGGAAAATGATAATGGAAGGGATTAAAAGTTGGCAGGTATGGCGTAAAGGCTCAAATCACTTGCCACTTAATCCAACGTATTACATATATTATGTTTTGGAGCATTTTTCAAAACTGATTGACCAATTAAGTGGTTTGAGTTAGAACTTACTGTAGAATTTTGGGCTATAATCCACTTTCTAAAAGGTAGAGAATCACAATCACATCGCCATGGGTTTTGAGATAAAGTGAAGGTCTTGACATTAGACGGCGGATTATTAAAGAATCTTGTAATATTGTTTTCTGCCAGTAAGAGAACCTCTATGTTGTTTGGAAGACTAAAGTCCAATCCTGAGATAAAGTTGTGTTCCAGATTCAAGATACGTAGCTTGGACGTTGAAGGAAGGTTGAGCTCTAATGGATTAAACAGCATGTTTCCACGAAGATTTAGTTCAATTGTCATTTCTGGAAATCTGTTTGGTATCTTTCAAAAAATGATGAGATATTCTATCGTTCAAAAATATTAAAACAGAAATGTTTATGAAAAATATCTGAAGTGCAAAAAAAAAGCTTACACCTTTAATAACTTTTGATCTAATGATCGGAAATTCCGGTATTCGGATTCAATCTTAACAGTTTGAGACCTATTCTTAAATATGCTAATCAGTTAGAGTAGATGATACATAAAGTTTTCGAAGTAAGACGCAAAAAATGTAATTTCTCTCAGTAAAAATACATTCCTTCCGTGGATTTCAAAAATTTTCCCAGTCGAAAGATGGGAGAGAACCGCGATTCGAAAAATATAGACCCAATTGTTCAGTAAGAAAAATCGCTGACCAGTGAGAGTTTTGGCCACTTATTTACCAATTTGGCCAATTTAAACTTGCTATTACAGTAATATATTATGTATCAAAAGTAGACTCTTTTTTTTATTTTTTTTTATTCTTTCGACATTGTTATATCGTAACAAAAAAATGAAGCAAAAATTCTTTTGTATTTGCTTACCCTAAAATATGACAATCANACCCTAAAATATGACAATCAATTTGTGCAAGAGATATTTTAAATCACGAATTCAGGCACAAAAATGTATTTTCTCTGAATAAACAAATTTAGCAAGTGAAAGTTTGCACCACTTAATTTCAATTTCACGTATTATGCGATTCGCCAATTCCTTAAGATTTGTCCGATGCCTTTCAAACTTTTAATTAAATTAAAATTAATTTAAAAATACGTAGATTAAACTGGTGT